AAGGCAACTGTTGACCCCCCAGAGATTCCACAGCTTTGGGTAGGTGTACGCTGATAGCGTTGTCCTCTGCAAAATATAATAAGAATCACCAAACAACAGGGTTACTGCTCCGGTACTAAATACTCACATGAGAAAAGATGTGTTGACAAACAGGGTCACAAGCCACAAAATCCATGGTATCATTGTGGTAATTCTGAATTACCTTGTACTGATTCTTGTACTGAAGGACATGTGCTGGGATTCCACTTTCATTTGCCAACTTGGAGCCTCAGACTGGTAAAGTGTCGTTTTGTAAGTTCACCATCAGGTCGGAGTCTCCCTAAAGTGAATCAAACATGGCAATAGAGATTTAACTTTTATATACTGTACATGTTAACAAAATAAGGCGCATGGGCCATTACAACAGAGTTGACAACATTTTGCCTTAACAAAATTCTGGCAAACACTTGTCAAATCTTCATTAAAATAATAAGTGCAAACCAAAAAAATCAAGCTGTCATTTTTTGTAGATTGTAGAATAAGGCCATCAGCATCAACGTGCACAATAAATCGAACACACAGGGCTGGATATTTCCTGATATAAAACACCCCCAATGCCTTTAGTTATGGATTTTCCCAGTCTGTATCTCATGGAGAGTCTGTTTAACTGCTGCAGGGGAAGGAGTTGCCCTTTCCTGCCCAACCTCTCTGCACCATACACCGGACACACTGGGGGCAATGTCTTCTTAAATGGGTTATTATATTGGAAGTAAGAACTGCTGGTATCAGGTGTTAATATCAATACTTGAATCACACACCTTATAGTTAAGACGTACCTTGAGCATGATGTGGCATCGAATGGTGTCCTCTCCAAGGTTTTACCAAACTCTTGCTTTGGCATTTGAGGGGATATTCCAGTCTTCGTGTAAATATGGCATAGATCACAGCTCCACTTTGAATGTCCTGTCTTTCAAAGACCCTGTATGAAGAGCCAATAAAAATTAAAAACTGCATTACATTTTGTCCCACTGAAGTAAAATCAAACTTCTTATTTCAAACAAAATTGTTTTCTACATTCAAGGTCGTTTATTGGAAACACCATCTCCCCTCTCTTGAAGTTACAAAGGGGATTGGTTCCCCAAAGTCAGTTAACAGTTGGTGTGACGTAAACTGTGTCCCCGGTAGAAACAGGTAAAGGCATTGTGAATGAGTGAAGCATATTTAGTGCTGAAGGTACCCTTCAGGAGTTACCCTACAATCTTAGCATGTTTGAATTATAAGCTTGTATAAAAAGTAATGCCAATGCCCACAAGGGATGAACGACAGTGAAAATGCATAACAGTTTCAACATCAAATGATCATTACAACCTTCATGAAATAGGGCTGTTACAGACTGTTGTATTAGTTATTGTTAGTGTACTAATAAACTGGGAACTGAGTGTAAAGTGCACCCTTAAATACCACAATATGCATTCAGTAATGCCACACATGGTCAAAACACTCAAAACAGTCAAATAAAGGTTAAAAAAAAAGATTTTAGACCCTTATATTTCCACAATGAAAGCATCAAAACTTGTTTTTTTTTTAAACAAACATTAACAGCTCTTATTTCTTCTTGAAAGGGATACATGGAATTACTTGGTAAATAAACTATAACCAGACACCAAACAGCCCACTGTCAACTCTCTATACTGTCTTGATTTCTTCCGGTTTGCTCAGTGTGTATAATAATCTGATCACGAAGAACAGGGTGATTATTCCACCACAATAATCAACATCTTCTCCATTTTGATGCTGAATGCCAGGCTGGACCTACATAAACATGATTTGATTGGTTAGCTCTGCGCTGATTTTTCTGTGATCTGCGCTATAGTCTACTTCGTTTGATCCATGAATTAACATATTATACTGTATATACACACAGGTACGTTTTTCAACTGCTCTAATGTAGCTTAAGCTATAATACCATTTCATCTAGCCAACCTTAACTGTAAAAAGTCTGCTCAACTGTGTTGAAGAAGGGATCATCTGTCAAGGGCATCCCATCAATTGTGTAGAGACAGACTCCTTGTGCTGCCAACATTTTCAAGAAACAGATCCTTAACATCAGGTCTTGATTGTGTTTTGCGCTGGATCGATATCTGTAAGTTCAAAAATTTCATAAACCATTTCAAATCTCATTTGAATCTACTATTATGAAAGAGTGTAATATTTCATGACACGGTTTGGCACCAGTCTTAAGTATTTCTCTGTTCACAGTCACTCAGACATTTGAAGGTAAACTCCCCTCATGCGCTCACTGTAACAACACGTCAAATAGATATGAACTGAACTATGATATAAATGTTAAAAAATCATATATAATGTCTTCCTCTACCTTTAATAATTTGGTTGCAGGACATTTGGGTATGTGTACTGCAGAGAGAACACCTCCATTGATTTTTGCAGAGATTTAACAGTTTTGAACTGATCTCTGGAACTCTGAGTCTCTGAAGAAGTTTTTCATAGCTGGAAAAACGGTTCTTTTCCACATGACTTTTAAACCTTTAAAAATGCAGAGGACAATATATTTCAATATGCTTTACATCTTATTATCAGTGTGATAACTTGAATTTATCATTCACAGCCCACTTGACTGTCCTTATGGCTGCTCATTTTTACATTCCAATAATGTGTTTTTCATCCTTTCTTATAATACAATTATGCCACAAAAACTAAAGAATCCAAATTTAAAAACTGTATCACTTCTAACACTGTCAACAATTACAAACAGTTAAACATTTTACAAATATATTTATTACATTGCCCTGCATTTAAAATTGCGAGTGATGTTGCATAAGTGTTTCATCTTACTGTAACTTGCGGTGTAATTTTATTGTATCTTCCATTCCATTCCATTAGGTGGTGACATAATCTTTAGGTGTAACTTTTAAGTTAAAGTCAGACAAGTAATTATTCAAGAGTTCTAGGAAGCTACAGTTCACTTCAAAAAAAGGTAAAATTTTATAAATTCTCTTCACACTTGCACAATATTGTGGATATAAGTTTCATTTTTCAAGCAATTAACTGAAAAAAACTGAAATATCTAAGCATACCTTTGGAAGGGTGTTGACATTCATCCATGTTCAGCACTCTTACCTAAGTTGTTTAGATCTTCACACTCGTCACACCATCCAGGAAATGCTCTTTCATCTACCCACCCACTGAAGAACTGATTGTAGTAGGACTCCAGCCTGTGCTGCTCAAGTAGTTGATATATTGTGCCCATTAAACAGGAATCAGGAGATTTTATTTGCCTTCGTCACTCTCTATTCTTCTTGGATAATTTATGACAAATGACAATATTGGCAAATACCAACATATGTTCAGTGAATAGCAGAGAAACTGAGTGACAGATAAATTCTAGCTATACATGATGTCCTCTTTAGAAACTTAAGATAACACTAGTATTCACAGTAGAAGATTCACACAATATTTTAAATTGAAAACCACACAGGATACCGTTGGTCTTCCAGTACAGTCTTATCTAACAATGTTCCATGGTCACACACCATAACACAGAGTGTACAAGTGTCTCTCTCATTAGGCTATACGCATGAACTACACCATGGACATGACTTCTAGATGTCAACCACCACTTACCTTCCAACTAGTAGTTTGATTTAGCACTTCTCACCTCTTCTGCAAAAGCCTTTCATCTTGGAAAAGTTAGTAATAGTTTTCACGAGTGTGAATATAAACACAACAAGCTGGTAAAGACGGACTGCTGAGGTTTTCATGTTTGGCATGGTGACGTTTAATGTCTCCCACACAACCTCTGTAGTCTCAGTTATCCACTTAGGAAGCTTTAAAAAAAAATCACACAGTGTGGTATTTACTGCATATTTTGTGTCTGTATCAACTAACGACGGCGGTGAAGACATAAATTAGACATGAATAGAGCTACATCCGCCTCGTCCGTGCGCCGCCCTGTGTTGTACCACAGACCCCTATTTCAGGCATCCTTCCAAAAAAAAACTGTGTTCAAATAGAAAAATCCCATGTTCTGTCACGAATGAGGGGAACTGGAGGTTGAATACAAATACACAACTTTTGTCTGGGTTTTAGGCACATGTTTCATTTTTAACCATGATCACAAGTGTTTCCAGTGTGCCCTCAACCAAGATTTCTTGGTTGTACATGGAATTTTGTTGTAGGAAACTGAGGGAACTTTATTTTTTAAAGTCTGATGATGAAACTTTTTTTTTAAGTTTGGTGTAACACAGTGACAATTTTAGGAGTTTTGTTCCACTCTCACATACCACTACTTTAATGCTGAGGGAGCTTGTCAGTGAACTGCTCTTATTCTACATATAAAGATGTTGGCATTTTTCATCTCTGTCAGCTAAACCGTTTTAGATATTGTGAAGAATAGTAAAAGAAGCTGCCCTTGTGAGATGAAGTGTCAGGCCCTTAACTGCAGTTTGTACAAATTAGCACATGTCTAAAGTACATAAATGCCTTCTACCATAACATACTGTTTTATGGGAGAACCACTTGCATCATTGCTGCCTCACACATTCTGATAGTGGTTGCCCCTGGCATAGTTTGGCATGGATATCCAGCGTATATAGACTCTTGGCTTAAAGTTTTCGGACACGGAGCAAGGCTGTTTTAGATTTGAAAATAGATGATTATATGTCAGGAAAATATTCTTGTGTACTTTTTTAATTGTCGGGTAGCAAGAATATGGCTATATATGTATACAGCCACAAGGAACCCTATATTTTGGTTAATCAAGTAGAACTACTTAAATAATAAAAACCTTTTTGGCTCAGTGAAGTTTCAGCTCAATAATGCACGTGACCGTGCTACTTTGAAAAAGCACTGCAATGAATAGGCTATTCGTTTTGTGTTCAATTTTCATGGTTTAAGCCCTGTATAGAAATTTAGCATTTTTATTTTTCTTGCAAAACTGTGTGTTCTTTAGTAGTGAATGGTGTGTTTTTATTATTGATTTCATGTTCTGTTCTTTTGTTTAGATGGAGACAAAATTCCAAACTGCACTGAAGAGATTTTGCGAGAAACCTCAGTACAGAGAGCTACTGACATTGAGAAAATCTTGCTCAGCTTGCCTCCATCATTCAGATCATATGCTCTCTGGATTCATCATGACAAGACCACTGGTCAGAAGTATGTACCATCAAGTTCTTACTTTTAATTAAACTACTGCAAATACGTTTTTATTGTTTTTTTTCTGTTGGCAATTTAGAGAAAGAGTTCTCAGCCTTAAAGTTGTTGCTGGTTATTTTACTAGTACAGTACAGTAGATGCAGTATATCGTTGTATGTTTTTGTTTGAGTGTTGCAATGATAAGTGTTTGCTTAAGACTTATGATTGTACTCAAGCCATAATTGTCAATAACCTAAACAATTAAATGACAGCTTTCAGGTCAATATTCAGAGCACTTTTGGAAGTATGGTTGAAAGATTGAAAACTTTCCCTCACCTCAATGTGACCCCACCTCTACATCTGAAGGATCTAGGACAGAGAGAGGTCCGCCTTGTTCTGCTGAGTGAAGGTACTCCATGAAATCATATCCTGGATTGTCATTCCTTTCTGTGCATATAGAAAGTTTCATACTGCATTGTTGTTTTTATGGGTTCATGATCTTGATAGCTCCTTTTTTTGTGCATATTTTTCTTTGTCAGACAACCTTGGTGTTTATCTGTATAAAGACAAAGGATCCGCAGATATGATCAGAGTGCACGATTGTCTGGATGGTAAAGAGAAAACATTGGATGTGAATGTACTGGCAGCCATGTGAGTACCTGAACCTTACAGCTTGTATAAAAACAAGAATTTTGAGATCAGTTAGTATACAATATAAAACAGAATTGTTTTTTGGGATTTTTAACAGCCCCTGTTTTCCATTAGAAGAATGAGAGCATTTTTATGCCCCATGCCGACGACAGCCAGGGCCGGAGACATTATGTTTTTGGGTTGTCCGTCCATTTTGGTGGTCAGAGGTCAAGGTCATGGTGACCTTACAAACCACAGACCACCTGGAGGGAATTTCTGTGTTCTCCAGTAAAGTTTTCACCTGTGGCCCATATGGCTGAATTTCAGCATTTTTTCTGGTAGATAATGATGATGATGATGATGAAAGTGTACAAGTCAATCCTTTTCGTCATTCAATGTATGAACAGGAAAAATACACCAAAACGCCAGAGCCACCAGGATGTCTAGCTGATGTTTTGTTCATCAATCCATCATATAACTGATTGTCATGTTGTTTGTTTGATTTTTAACATTTAACACAGGACTGGTGACCATAGAGAGGACCAATTACTTGTCACAACTAGGACTCCAAAAGAGGCCATACTGGTAACACTTCTTGCCTTACTTGACAATATGTTCTTAATAGACAATATGTCTTGAATTGGGAAAACACACTTCACAGTGTGCAGCCTGTACAGTGACTAGTCCTAAACAATGCACTTCAAAAAATACATAATTCAGTTTAAATATTGGTATTTTATGTAAGGCTGTCAAGGGCATTTGTATTTTAGGGAAAAAATAGCCATTTTATTTGTTTTTTGTTGTAATGAAATTTCTACTACATCAACAACAGTAGCCCATACATACAATACATATCATTGTTCTTGACTTTGTTTTCATCAGGTCCTGATAGACACAAGTTCGTCCATGGACGAGGAGTGCTACAGAAATACAGGAATAAAGAAAATTAACGCTGTGAAAGAGCTCTTTGACAACTTTGCGTCAAGAAGCATGGCTTATGATTTCCACCATGTCATTGGCCTTGTGAAGTTCGACTCCATGGTGAAAACGCTTCACACATTTACTGAAAATCTGGAAAAGTTCAAGGTAAGTGTACATACCCCATCCATCAACATGTCAAAGGAGCATTCTGGGCAAATGAGGGTTTGTCGTGTATGGCAACATTTGCATTCCATTTTTGATGTTGCAATCTACCTCAATAGAAATGTAAATTTTCTATTTTTTTTTTTTACATTTTTAGGAGCACATACGTAACCTTGAGCCAAATGGATGTACTCTGCTGTATGATGCCCTACGACGTGCAGTGTCTGAGTTAGAAAAGGTCAAGACAAAGTTCCCAGATTGTAGACTTCGCGCCATGTGTCTCACGGATGGAAATGATTCTGGGTAAATTTCCTTCCCTGTGCTATTGTGCTGCGTTAGCACCTTTTAATATTTCAACTACAAAAATATACATTAAGTGCTTTACCTTTTAGTTGAGTAGGTGTTGACTAATGCATCATGTAAGTACCAGCCCCAGATCAGCTATATGGTTGACTCTGTAATCTCTAATTGTTTATAATCTGTCTCAATAAATTCACCAAATGGTCAGAATATCAACAATTACCCCTGATTTCAAAATATGCTTTATTATTTACCACACTGACATTGAGTAAGCTAGTCATACAGTTTATCATCTATTAATCCTGCTATGTGAACTATTAACTACAGATTGTGATTTTATTTGGGGACAGCGGAGGTCATAATCTGAATATTGTCATATTTCCAAAGATCCTCGATAGAGCCAGTTGCAGTTACAGCCAAACTGCTCAAATGTGACATCATTGTAGATTCAATCCTTCTTGGAGATGTGGAGAACAACATGCTGCACGGAATCAGCAACGCAACAGGTATGCCGTTATTACCAAATTATATATAAAGCTGCACAAAAATGTTACATATGCCATATCCTGTCTCTGAGTTCTCTAAGACACATTTTAACTCAAAGCAATTGCAGTCAGAAAATTTAGATAAATTATCTTCTGACCATTTCCAAATATTCACGATTAAATCAACTATGATTGAACCATCAATTGCATTTCAGGTTAGGCTCATCATCACCATCATTTGTTTGTGTATTAAAAAAATTAAGAAAATGACTGATGTCATGAGTAACAATGGCCAAAATGTGACTCACCACATATCCATGATTGCTTTCAGGTGGTTGCTGTTTCAAACCGCAGACAACCAAAGAGGGTTTGAAGCTGTTTGAGATTGAGACAGTTCTGTCTTTGGAGCAGAGGAAACCCAAGAAAAAACTTGACCCATCCTCTATCAGTGAGGTCAGTTGCAGTGTCTTCTATTCTGTTTAAAGTTCCTCTGAAAATGAAATACATCACAGTCATTCCTTTTACAGTTTTAAACTTAAAATTTGGCATGATGTGTTCATACATTTTTCCCTGTTATTTTATAGCATGCTTTAACAGGCATCTTTGCAGCTCATGGATATGATGAATATCCAGAGACATCTTTACCAAGCCAGATGAACAACAAAGTGACAGGGACAGAGAGGTAAGATATAGAAACACATCCTCTGGATGCTGATAATAAACCTGATCAAGTTATTGTGACCTTTGTCCATCTGTTAATGATCACATTCTTCATCTGATTTGTCAAACATAAAGGTCGTGATTATAAATGATAGTGTCAGGCAAAGGTGAACTAATTTGGTGAACAGGTTGCCCTTGACCCATCCAGCCATTTAGCAGTAATTTAATTTTGTTGTAGCCCCTAGTGGCAAATGTCATGAGTTCTGCAGGATAGCTTGGAGTCCCTTAGTGCTACAGCCACTGATTATTTTCATTTTCAATTGAAATGCTGTGTCAGAACAGTGAAAACGGTTCACCACAATTTCCACAATTATTGATTGTCTGATTCATTTATTGACCAATTGGACAAAAATGTGTTTCACAATTGGCCAACACCAAACAGAATCCTCTGAGGGTTTTCAATGGCAAAAATGATAAGGCTTTTGAAGATGTGTGCATTACATTTGAAGCATTAATGATCTTTCAAAATAGTGCTCTGAAAAAGCGGCTTCTGGAGTCGAAGGACAGGCGTTTAATGGAGAAGGACAAACGTGTCCTGGAGGAGCTGAAGAGCCTGCATTGTGACCCTCATCCCTTCTTCAGAGTCTTTCCATCAGAGTCAGACTTTAGTAAGTGGCATTGTTGCTCTTGACTTGTTTTTTGCTCCCACAAAACAGGATCTAGTCTTACAAATATTTAACACGGCTATAATTTGTTTGGGTTCTCTTGTCCTTTATAGACTCACATTATGTATTTGCAAGTGACAGCTCATGAAAACCAACATTTTAATTGTTTTAACTATTTATTATTAAACTGTAGTCCAGAGTACCCATTGTGCACTGTCTAGCCAGCCGTCATTGTAGTGTGACACTGGAAATGAGACTAGTTGTTTGATAAAAGATTAAGATAAAGACTTTTTTTACTATTGGGATGTACAGGATATCGCATTAAGCTGATGTAGGTCATGAGGTGACCATCTATCATTAAATATGAAGTGTAATCCTTTCATAGCAACAGGGTTCAATTAGTAATTTTTTTATCTTCAGTGTTCTGGAGGATTCTCATGCAAGGCCCTCCTGACACACCGTATGGAAAAGGAGTGTTTGAGCTGTACTGCCAGTTTGGTCCTGACTACCCAGTGAAGCCTCCACTTGTTCGCTTTGTCACAGGAGTATCCTGCCAAAATAAAACAACTGAAAAGTTATTTTTACATTGCATTCAGATGTCTACACAGTGTTATATTGTAATTATTACCATGATTATTGCTTCATCTCTAACTCAGTGAGGTTATATGATGGCAAAAGTTATTACATACCCTGTGCATGTGTTTTTTGGTAGTGAGATTTTCTTAACAGTATGACAGGTGTACCACTGCAATGTCAACAGCGTGGGCCGCATCTGCCACAGCATATTTGACCGTAGCTACAATGCCCATATTACCATGAGAGAGATCTTTGATGCTGTGTATGGACTGCTCATCATCCCTGAGCCTGATGATCCACTGGACAGGTGAGATATGTACATGTTCATAAATGAATAATTTTATCTGGATATTTCTTGTTCTGCTGATATTTGTGATCAATTTACAAAGTCTAATGTGTTGCATTGATTTAAAATGTTATGTGTGGTAGAAATTTGTTTATCGTTGATTGTTTCATAATTTACTAGCACATTGAGAGAGTAAAGAAATTTGGAAGGTCACACCTTGTGCCTAATGTTTTTGGATTTGTGACTTTGTACCAATGTACAAGAACAGAGCTTTCATCCTCGACTAAGAAAATGTTTTACAACAATAGCATGATGAAACATGGGGCCTGCACCATGAAGCAAGATTAGTGGGTTATACAGCTTCAGATGATGACAATCGTAATGAGAAACTCAGCATGCTATATCTTAGTGTTCATAATCAAATACACACCGACCACATTGGTCAGCGTAATGTCATATTTTAAGTATTTGACTTGTATTTTTAATTTCTTTTGGAAGCATTTTGGCTGAGGAGTTCCTGACAAACCGTGAGACGTATGAACAAGAAGCCAAGAAACACACAGAGCAAACTGCAGGACAATCACTGGATGACATGGAGAAGGTGAATGAACTAACATTCTTAGTTAGTTTTGGTGGATTATTACTTTCCATATAACAGTGATGTATTTGGTGTCTTGCAGTCTTTATATTGATATACTATGTGTCTTGTTTTTGTCTCTTTCTTTTATTTTAAAGAAATTGGTGGATTCTGTGCCACAGTTTATACCGCGACATCTAATCTGTCCACTCACCAAGAAAATGTTTGTTGATCCTGTGAAAACCGTGTATGGCACTGTGTATGAACGCAAGGCCATTGAGGAACACCTGAAGCAGTGAGTTCATTTGCTACTGTTGACACTAGTTAAAAGTGAGCTATGTCTATGTCATTACAAACCTGATTCATAACCAATTTATCAACAACATGCTTGTAAAGGAGGCCATCTAATTGCTTTGGACCCATTTTAAATTACATGTACTGAAAGAGACTTACATCAAAGGGCCTTTTGTCAAATAAATTAGGTTAAAATTTAAATAAAATTAAAGTAGGTAAAGCTCTGGCTACAATTCCCTGTCAATGTTTGTGGCAGGGAGTCTGAATCCGCTATCACCCCCCAAAAATCTCAGCAATCAATCCATCTGGTGCATTGCCATGTGCTGTATTTTCACTGTTGTATACTCTGTTGCAGACACAAGCATGACCCTATGGCTGGCCCAGGACATGACCTTGAGCTTAGCGACCTTACAGCAGACTGGGATATGAAGAAAATGGTGATGGATTATCGATCTCATCAAATTCAGTGAATCTTTGGAGAAAAACGTTGGAGTTAAAGCTCTGTAGTTTTGTGTTGGTGTTAAAAGAAAATTAACCAGTTACTCTTCATATTTTTCTATCTAGTTCATTTTATTTAATCTTCCTTTAAAGCCTGTCATGTTGAAAATGCATATTTCTGAGCACAGCGTGCAATAGCACACAAATTATGAGTAGTTTGAATTGTGTTTATTGTATATAACTTGTCAGCCATTGTCAGTGACATGGTGCTTCTCTCACACAAACCCCAGAAAATTACCCAATTAGAAAAGCCTGAATACATTCGCACTAATTTGTCCCTGAAAATTGATTTAATATATACTTGATAAGCCTATTCGTGTACAGTATATGTCTTTCATAACTTTTCCACATTTTGAATTCATTATCACATAATTTGACAAGCGAATACAATTCTAAAAACGTAAATGTCATAATAATAAACTTAATGTAGCCTCAAATGTTTCTTACTGAATATAAAAGTGAATCTTTGGCTATTTTGACCAGTTGTTTTTGTCCAGACGGGAGCACTAAGTGGACAGTGATAGCAATTTGGGTTTCTCTGCTGTCTGACATAATTATTTAGAGATGATTATTGCTTTGATTTTTTTTTGGGTTGGTCAATATTTTTTCCATATTGTCAGTTATGTCTATGCACAGTTTAGCAACTTAAGCAATTTCAAAAATTATGAATCACTTTGTATTGTTGAATAAAAGTTCAAGTTTACTGTGTTTGTCTCACTAGTGATTACATAAGAATAAAGCATGGGAAAGGGACAAAGCCTTTTTTTTCTATTTTATATGTGCAGCAAACATTTTCACGTAAGTCTTGCATATAGTCACCCAAAGATGTGTGTCACTCAGATTTCTCGGAGTTCCTCAAGAGTTGTTCTATTGTTTGGCAGTGTGTTGCAGACGTAATTGTGGTAATATTATTAAGAAGAATATGCCATAATGTTGCATATAACCTTTCTGAAGCAACCCTGAGCATAGTCAGGAGTTGGAGCCGTGATAAGCCTAATTGAATCAACTGAACTGATTAAATCAATTAAAATTAATAGAAATTAAAGGCTTTATTTACATACAGAACCTTAACATGTTTGTCTGTAAATGAATTGTGCAAATATTTGTGCAGATTTATGTAGAAGTAACAAGTGATGCAACTTTGAAACCGTCATTGGGGTAGGTCTTCTTAGGGTCATATTGATGTTTTTTGTATTGTGAAGTAAACTATGTGATTGCTTTGATTGGAAGACAGCATCCTACTACTTTGCTGCACATTAAAGCTGTGGGATGTTCACATAATCTGCGTCAATTACTGTAAGATGGAGCTGTGACAGGAATGTGGGCTCCACTGCTGCCTGTTACACCGTTAAATGATAAACAGCATACTGGTCTTAGATGAGGAACTGTAATACTTATATATACTTATATAATACTTTTAATTTTTATAATACTTTTTGGCCAAGACAACATTTAAGGCAAAGAAACCTACACTTGCCAAAATCATTTTATCTGTGGACTCAAATATGAACCAGCAGTAACGTTTACATCTATACTGCTAGTGTAAAGATTAATTTGTCAGTGGTTAAATGAGACGTAGTTATCACTTACAAGACTTTATTAGTAGTTTATAGCTGATGACTAGACAGCCAATCCTCGCCAACCATTTCGCCTTACGTCATGTTCGGATTACAGGAAGTGAATCACTCGCCTTCAAATTAAATTTCCTTATATTTGAAAAACATATATAGAATCACTGATCTACCCGCGATGTTAAAGGGCCATTTTTAAGGCAAAAACTCATTCTTTTTTAGATTGATACTACCGCTGCAAGTTTGTCACTTTTCATCTTGATGGAGCTTCAGAAAAGCCCATTAATGTTTTTATTTTGGTGGCTGTAGCCGGAAGTGTTTTAAATGTACACAGTTAAACTTTGTGCTTTACTGACGCTGAATTGACTGCACGAAGTGAACGCTGTTGACTCTGCAGATTTGAGGAGAAACGGGGACTCAGCCAGCAGGTGAGTGTTACTGGATTTCCCAAAAAGTTATTTTTTTCTTTGTTTCGATTTGTTTACGTCCGCCTAAAAGCTTGACTGAAAACTACGCGGTATTACTTCAACAGGTTGTTTTACTTCAAACGTGCCAGCGTTATGGCTAACTTAAATTTGAAATCACTAAAGGCTGTGGCATTACTTTCAACTTTTGTGTGTGGCGTTTCTGGCACAGCGTTGATTCACTCTAAAATAACCATGTGCGCTGAAGTAAGGCAGTTTTGGCTGAGGGGTTAAGCCAGGACCTGTCTTTCCTGCAAAACCTGTTTACACATTCACGTTTGGTTAAATCACTTCACAGTTCCCCTTAAAAGTGGAGACACTGAGTCACAATGGGTCTATAGTTGAACTCCCTGTTAGGACGGTAATATAAGGGGAAAGTACCCCCAGAAAATGGCATGTTTCATACTGCAGCTTTAGGAGGTTCAACACTTCAACTTTTTACTGTTGACATTAAACATAAAAACAGATACACACCAAACTAACATGCCTTGATAAAAATGATGAGAATTGTTGGCCTTAGTGAAACAATACGAGCCAAACTTGACCAGAAATATAAATCACTGTGGTTTAAATAGTTTTGGACAACAATGCAGCTCTATGGCACAGAGGCTACACCAGCAACAGTCTTTAATGGGATCAGTTAATTGTGTGTCTTTCTATAGGATGTGTAATAATGTTGAATTTATACATCATAGTAACCCCACTGCTTCCTCTGCTTGTATGTGTCCTTTTCCTAGAGAGATGTGGTGGGTGCTGTGGGTGCTCGCTGCCCTGCTGGCTCTCTTCTGCAGTCTGGATGTGTGGTACTTCCTACGGGCAGCAGTGGTGATCCTCCGGGCCTGGTTCCAACCTCCGGTCTTTGACATCACAGCAGAGCAGGTCCTAACAGGCCGGGTCACTCCCCATGACATCGACATGTGCCACATGAACAATGCCCGTTACCTCAGGGAGTGTGACTTCGCCCGGTTCTCTCTCTACACACGTAACGGGGTCTTCAAAGCAGTTCGAGCCCTCGGCGCTTCAATGGTTGTGGGGGCCACCACCATTCGTTACCGAAGAGCTCTGTGTATAGGTGAGGGGTACGAGCTGCGGAGTCGGATCGTCACTTGGGATGACAAAGCCTTTTTCCTGGAGCAGAGATTTGTGTCAACAAGAGACGGGTTGGTGTGTGCCATCATGTACTGCAAGCAGAGTGTCATCCGCAGCAGCCCAGACAAGATCATGCAGCACCTGTGTAAAAGGAAGGTGGGAAAAAAAGTTTCAGAACAAATGCAAATTGCATATTGGTAAGGTCTAATTATTGAAGAACATTGACACTGAAGGTTTGCTCCTTACAGGTGGAGTGCCCTGAGTTTCCAGAGGACCTTCAGCACTGGGTCAACTTCATCTCTGCCAGCAGCCAGACCCTCAGAGCAGAGAGTGGACTAGAGGAAAAGAACAAATGAGGCATTGCATGGACAGCTATTAAGACTGGCTTTCGTGAGACATCTAATACACCAGCCCGGGATCCAAAGTCTTCTGAGAGAGACATTTGTCAATCCACTTGACCTGAACACACTTGTGCCTACTTTACTCGTGAACTTTGCTTAGACCACAATACTCATGCCAAACAGAAGAAAAAAACAACATACTTCATGGTTCTGAGAGGCTGCTAAAAGCCATGAATAATCTTTACTTATACACTAATAAGAAAGTAATATGATTGTAAAAAGTATGTGTTCATGTACTACAGAAGCACTAAAACAAATAAAATTTGAACTCCTGTTGATGCACTTTTATGCCCACAATTTGTATTTATGTGCACACGTGTGCCTCACATAACATTCAATAAGAGTCAAGTTAGGTACAAGTTGTTACTGTAATCAAATGTGAAACTGTAAAAACACTATGGTATACAGCAGAAAAATCAATGAAAGTGGTTACAAATCAGAAAAAGATGCAATACAACAAATGAGAAAAATTATTGTAAAAAAAATAATAAAACAATAAAAAAAAAAGTGTCACAGTGTAACAGAAGAAAATTAACTCCCAGTGATTTATTTGGTAAAAAGCAGTTGTTGCTACAGAAAGAGGATGTCCAGCTGACACCATCAGCTTCTAGCAGGATGTACATACTGTTAGCTGAGCTCATGTTAAAATACACATATAAAACTTAACTTTTACAGTACTATTTTCCCTGACAGATCTTTGATTTTCTTTATCAAAATACTGTTTTGGCTATCTGTCCAAAGTTAAACTTTGACAAAACTTCAAATCAAATTTCCTCTGATGGATCATTTTATACACAGAGTTCTTTAAACTCTCTGTGTGTAAAATGCATATCCACACATGTAGAATTGAGATTCAAAAAACGTTTTTTCACCTCACAAATATAAATTGATTGAAAGGAATTTGTTTGTGTATTTGCAGATTCTTTTTGTATTTGCAAGATATTTTTGTAAGTTTACAAATGTATCTTTTGTATTTGTGGAAAGTGTTTTATATTTGCAGATTACACACTTACTCACTGATTGTCAATCTGTTCACACAAAGAATTTTGACACAAATCTACCTACACACTACTGCTTCTATTGCTCCTCCCAGGTGCATGCTGCCCCTATACCTGCTTACCTATAAGTAAGTTGCCTAAAGTGCTGCCCAGTTGCAAAGCAAACTGAAGAAATAAGTAAAAAAGACAAATACTAAATAAATATAGTCTTAAAAAAAGACAGTTATACCAAAGAGGTAATAAATATCTTCTACAAATATACACAAACGTAACAATGATGATTTCAATAATAACATGAATAAAAAAACGTTTTAAATGATATTACTGTCACGTATTTACATTAACATTTTAAATTCTTTATGAGGATCATTGAAATCCCCTTTTAAGTTGGATTTAGGGTTTCATGACTGGCTTTGTGTATATGCTTTTTTGCCATAATGAGACTTGTGTTAATCGACACCAACCATACACATTTCCTTGTGTGATGACGTCAGTTATTCAATATGAAAACATAACCGTGTAACCATGCCGACAATGCAACCACTGACATTACTTGTCGTCACAGACCACCCGGAAGTCCTGTTCATTCATTCTACCGGTTTCTTCAAGTTGCATCGCATCTCATGGTAGCACTGTGTTCAGGAGGCACGGTAAGTTTTACTGTCATAAAAAGACACTTCTGCTGTCTTTATGATTAATGCTTGAAGTCCGACATTGACAACTTCCTCGAATAGCGACTTTACTCGAACGACTACGGTCTCTTCTCTGACTAGGCCACCAGCTACTGGCAGCTAGCAGCTAAGCTAACAGATTTGGCTGTCAGCAGGTTGAATGGAGCAGCGTTAGCTTCATAGTCCTCTCAAGGTTGAAGTGGATGATTGGAGGAGTATGCTGCTTTCGTATTTTGAGCCATAATATTATGCCAAAGAGTGAAAAGACACTGACCGATTGTTTTTCTACACATTTGCATTGTCATCGATGAGGTAAAATGTGCATTTAGTTAAATATTTAATACTGAATTTGGTCATGAATTTAGAAAACACTAACTGCCCTAAGTAAGCAGTTTTTTAGACAAGTGAAGGCAAAGTTGATTTAGACATCAACAAGGCAATACAACGTGCTTTTCATAAGCCATAAACGGTATTAAGACTATGGACAGATTATTAAACAGGCCTACTGG